CCTACACTAGACCACGTTGCCCAAGGCCCCATCCAACCTGGCCTTGAACACTGCCAGGGAGGGGACATCCACAACCTCTCTGGGCAACCTGTTCCTGTGCCTCACCACCCTCACAGCAAAGAATTTCTTCCTAACCACTAATTTAAATCTACCTTCCTCCAGCTTAAGGCCATTACCCCTTGTCCTGTCACTACCTGCCCTTGTAAACAGTCCCTCTCCAGCTTTCCTGTAGGCCCCTTCAGGTACTGGAAGGCTGCTATAAGGTCTCCCCGGAGCCTTCTCTTCTCCAGGCTGAACAACCCCAACTCTCTCAGCCTGTCCTCATTGGAGAGGTGCTCCAGCCCTCTGATCTTCTTTGTGGCCCTCCTCTGGATTTGCTTCAACAGCTCCATGTCCTTCTTATGTTGGGGGCCCCAGAGCTTGATGCAATACTCCAGGTGGAGTCTCATGAGAGCAGAGTAGAGGGCGAGGAAAAAAATAGGAAAAGTAGTATCTTTCTCCAAAGAAACGGTAATCATCAATTATGAGCGAAAACCAGAAACATTAAAAAATCCCAACCCCCTATTAGTTGCCAAAACCAATCATGAAATATAAAAAGGTCAGAGGACTATACCACCCTGAAACGAAACAGCATGGCATAACTATTGTTTTATCTCTAAATGAGGTATTTTTTCTAAGATTTTGTACCATAGTAATAGATTTTTCCCAGCCATCAGGTAATTAGTTTGACAAGAACTGAATGATGGAATCTTTGCCAAGACATTTGTATCTCTCATGTTAAAAAACAAAAAGGAAAGATTTTCACAACCACTGTTAAATTATATGGAAAGAAAGCCTAAGTATGCAATTTGTAACTGGCTAAATAGATAACCTACCTTTATATGACTGAGTAATATAGTTTCTATTTTATGAAGTACATACACTTTCCTTCTTACTCCATTGTGTTAATATGTCCAAGGCAGTCTGTATTAGCAAGAGAACTGCTGTGCCTAGTAAACTACCTTTCTGGGATGACTGGTGGATTATTTTTTTTCCTTGGATTAATTTCTAAACGCCTCAGCCATAGTTTTTGGAACGTTGACAAATATATGTCTTACAGAAGTAAGAAGGCACTTTTAGAGGGAAAAAAATAATTTTGCATTTGATTGTCTGAATGGCGATTGCAGATATTTGTCTCATTTTGTTCTATGTTTTTTAAAGGGCACTATTGAGCATCCTGCATAAAGTGACACTTAATTAAGGCAAGGATCTTACACGAAGGGGAAAAACATTTAAGAACTGTAAAAGGTGAACTAAAAATGCTTTGCACACACACAAACTAACTACAATTCTTAATACAGAGATAGGAAAATATCTTAGAGATGCACAGACAAAAAAACCCCACAAAACAACCACCAAACAACAAACATAGCATTTTCACCTCTATAGTAGGCCTTAGTTATTGCATCAAATTCTTCTTGTCCCGCAGTGTCCCACAACATTAGCCTGACATCTTCATCATTAACTCTGAAATAAACGACATGGTTTTGTAATAAATACAACAAACAAGAGCAATTCAAAACAACAGACATGGAGATACTTCTATGTCTACAATATAAGAGTAATTCAGTTCAAATTTAACGTCATTTAAATACAATGTAACTTAATTTGATAATGGTTCACCTCTGTAACATGCTATGGCAGTAATCCCTCAATTACATTACAGGCTCTTTCCTGACAATCCATGTTACATTTTCCTCTCCTTTTCTTCTTCTTCCTCTACATTTCCCTCTATGAGGAAAAATAATATAGACTTCAGAACAAAACTGAAGTGCCTGAATAACGGTCCTTTTGTCTTTTTAATCAGCTTACAAAATTTATAGTATTTTCTTACTTGTCATTACCACAGTATTTTCCATTTTATCAAATCTAATTGGGTATTATCTGCTTATATTACATAAAGACACTAAATCTATAGTGTATTTAATTATTTTTTCCACAGTCATTTTAATCTATATTGGCTAATAAATTCTATTTATTCATAGAATAAATCATTCTATCGTAAGCACTTCCACTTCCTCCACAAGAAATTAAAAATAATAATAATAATAAAAATCAACAGGTGGTAGAATACAAAGGAAACTTGTCAGAAAGCTTAGTATGACAGAGGTTCCAAATTTTATTTTGCTTTTGATTTGTAATTCTAAACCTTGTATGGAAAATAAAGCGATATAATTTTAGCCCACTGTGTAAGACAGAAAACAACTCCCTTTATTGTGCTTTGGAGACAGCAGGCCTTGTTTCAAGCCTTTGTAAATCTCAGAATTACAACAGAACAAAGAAACAGAGGGAAAGGTAAAAATCAGTAGTATGGCATCTGTTTAATACATACTGGATTTGTCTTTCCAGGAAATCTACACCAATAGTTTTCTTGTAGTCTTTTGTAAAAATCCCCTTGCAATATCGCTGAATCATACTGGACTTTCCAACAGCTCCATTTCCTACTACCACCACCTTGATGGCCACCTCCATATCTTCTTCCAACATCTTTGCAGCCCAAGTGACTCTCTAGCTTATTCAGGAAACTATTGATTCTGTAAAAAAAAAGTAAACAGCTATGTTCATAAAAATGCTGTGAATAGAGAGCAAGAGGAAATACAATCACACATTAGGAGTCACAAAGATTGTAGTTTATTTTCAGCTCTACCAGACTGCTTAAGCAACCTTGGCCAAGTTATTTAGCCCATCTGTACTTTGATTTGCCATTTATTAATTGGAAATTAATAGAACTCTTCATAAAAAATATCCTTCCACTGTACAAATGTATTGTCATATGTTGATGATGTTCCTCATGTTTCACTGCTATCACATACAAGACACTCAACTGATCAACCTAGCACACGTAGCATAAGTCTGAAGTACAGCAACTTCTAACTCCAGCCACTGTGCTCTTAGACCTAGTTCAGATATCGTCACCCAACCCCAACACTGATGCTTTGAAGACATAAACCTGCATCATTCTGTGATTATATCCCTTACTCCAGTTCTTATGAACTTGTCTAAATGTGTCCTTCTGAGGAAGTCAATAAAAATCACGATCAAATAAATTTTGTGCACTCTTACTAATTTTTAGCACGTGAATCAAAACACTAAACGTATAATTACTGGGTAATTCTGAAGAAAACACATTTTCCAAAATTCTTTTTTTAAACAAGAAATTGAATAATCCGTCTTAAAAGATTTCAAAACGTTTTCACTTTTAGATAATTTAACTTATCAACACACAATACACAAGTTATTTACATTTAAAAAGTCTGTATTATAAGTATATTAGGTGTGACCACAATCTCACATCACATGGCCACTGCAAGGAAGCCACCTAATTTCTCTCTGATTTAATTTAGTCGGAGTACACCACCCAATTAACCAGAGACAAAGCCAAGTGGCTGGAGTACACGGACAAAGTTCACAGCGCAAGCGGTTATAACAGACACAGAACTCTTTATATAAACGAAAATTCCAGTGTGCAAAAACGGAAAATAATTTACTGGGCTTACTGTAAAAATATTTCATTCAAGTTTTGGTGAGTTTCTTTAATGAAGAAGAAACAGAGGTGCACGTAAAAGTTGTTTCCCCCACAACTTTTTGCTGTGCTGGGATATCGCCACAGTAGCGCTTCGCATCTGCAGAGCGGCAAATTTCCTCCCAAGAGGTAAGTGGTTACTCTCCTTCGAAAGGAGGGGAAAACACACCTATTTTAAAGACCTTGCCCATCACCACACACAGGCAGCCCGTGCTGGAAGAGCTGGGCTACCCGATACCCTCGCTCCGGCTCACCCAGGCAGATAATGTTTCTGGACTGCCTTTGGTTGCATTACACATTAGTATACGCGGATTTTTATCAGGTATTCGGCAAGCACCGCTAAAACTGCCGCTACGTCGGCCCCCAGGAATCCGGATGGCCA